ATAGATAGTCCTTTCTGTTTTAAGGTAGAAACTAACAGAGAGAATGCTTGGTGTAAAACTTCTTTGTTATTAGTACACAAGAGTATATCATCCATAAAATGACAAATTCTAACCTTAGGAAACTGTTTTCTAACTGGTTCAATAGCAGAAGAGACATATATTTGACACATAGTGGGACTATTGGCCATGCCTTGTGGCAGGACCCTCCATTGATATCGGTGGTCTGGTTCCTCATGATTAATACTTGGGAGAGTGAAAGCAAATCTAATTTTGTCCTTAGGATGTAAAGGTATAGAGAAAAAACAATCTTTAATATCTACTATTATAATCTCCCAATGTCTAGGCAAGGCTGTCAGCAGTGGCAGACCCTTTTGAATTGATCCTAATAATTGCATCTGATTATTAATAGCTCTAAGATCATGTAATAACCTCCATTTACCTGATTTTTTCTTAATCACAAATATAGGCGTATTCCATGGTGACTGAGAACTCTCCAGATGTCCTAGTTTTAGTTGCTCTTTAACTAGAGCTTTTGCAGCTGCTAGTTTTTCAGAGGTTAACGGCCATTGAGGAACCCATACAGGTTCTTCTGACAACCAAGGTATAGGCAATGCATCCTCAATGGCCCCTAGGAAAAACCCATCCCTTTCCTGTCTTGTTTTTCTGTAATAGAAACAGGGCTGATCCTGCCTTGTAAGGCCTTCCCCAGTCCTTTTCCAGGGACACACCCCATTTCTTTCATCATTTTTTGACTCTGTGTAGAATAATCATTAGTGAGCCTAAATTCCAATTGTTTAAGGATATCTCTTCCCCATAAATTAACTGGAAGTGGCAAGACATAAGGAACAACTGTCCCTCGTCTGCCTTCGGAATCTTCCCAGTGCAATACTCTTGCACTAACATCAGGAGCAGACTCATATCCAAGACCTTGTAAGGTTTGTGAAGAGCTATTAACAGGCCAGTTTTTTGGCCACCAATTGGTAGAGATAATGGTAGTATCTGCTCCTGTGTCTAGGAGGCCTGTGAAAAGCCTTCCTTGAATTTTCAACTCTAAGGTGGGGCGTTTATCTAAATCTAATGAAATAAATACATTCGGTCCTCCAGAGGAGCCAAATCCCTTCATGCCCCTAGTTAAACCTTTACTAGGAAAGAATGAATGTAAACTAGGGAGGACTAACAGCTGTGCAATTCTATCACCAGGAGCTATAGAGCTAATCCCCCTTGGTGATGAGCACATAATTTTTATCTGTCCCTCATAATCTTGATCTATGACTCCAGGGTGAACAATTAATCCTCTCAGAGTCGTAGACGATCTTCCTAGCACTAGTCCTACTGTATTCTCAGGTAAGGGTCCTGAAAAATCAGAAGGTATAGGCTGACACCCCATGGTAGGTGTTAGTACTGCTCTGGCGGTAGCACAGAGATCCAGTCCTGCCGAGCCTGATGTGGCTCTCCTGATTGTCTTATCCTTTGATGTTGTTGAGGGTTGTTCTGTAAGCTCTCTATTGCCCCATACATTTGTGGGCCCTGAGGGTGTGGGCCCCATTGCCCGTTTTTTGGCAGAGGGGAAATTACACGTCCTCTGTCGTCTTTAACTGACCTACACTCATTTGCCCAATATTTTCCTTTATTACACCTAGGACACATTCCAGGCACCTTTGGACGATTGTTATTAGTAGTGCCAGGTGCTCTACATTGTCTTTGTATGTGTCCCAGTTTTCCACACCTGAAACATTTAACATTAGAGGTCCTCTGAGCCGCTAAAACAGCAGCTGCCAATCCAGCATTAGATAGAGGTCCTCCTATTTCTCTACAAGCCTTCATCCATGCATTTAGTCCTTTTCCTTTCCAAGGTGTAATAGCATTTCTGCACTCTCTAGTACACTGTTCAAAAATTAGTTGTTCTATGAGAGGCATGGCCGTCTCAGGATCTCCAAAAATCCTTCCTGCCGCCTCCATCATCCTAGCCACATAGTCTGAGAATGGCTCAGTGTTCCCTTGGATAATTTTTGTCAAGTTTCCTGAAACCTGTCCTTTGTTAGGTAGGCTTTTCCATGCTTTTACAGCTGCCTTATTCATTTGCTCATATACTTCTACAGGGTAGGCCGTTTGATTGATAGCCCATTGTCCCTGCCCTGTAAGCATGTCAAAGTCCCATTGTGGATGCCCCTGAGCTAAATTTTGTCTTGCCTGTGAAGCACAAAATTCTTGAAAAATAGATTTCCAATCTAGATACTGTCCCATAGTCAGGCAAGCCTTAACAGTATTATACCAGTCATCTGGTGTCATGGCACTGACCACAAGTCTTTCTATTAATGCCTGAGTAAAAGAGGCATTGATTCCATAAGTCTGTACTGATTCGGCCAGCGCTTTTAATTGTTTTAAATCTAGCTGTGAATGTTGCCTGGTTTGGTTAGCATCTTCCCATACGGGAAAGGCTACTCTTATCTTTTTTCTCTCCTTAGCTGTAATAAGAGAATTGGACGGCAGTCTTTCTTGTCTCTCTTTTGTTTTTTTCTTTTTAACTCTAACTACTTCCTCTAATGGTGGGGCAGATGGGGCATACCCCGGTGTATAAGGCGAATCCAGCCCGTATCTTTCAGACTCATAATGAGCTGCTTCTTTATCTAACTCTGCCTGTTCCTCAAGATCTAACACACTATCAGAGGATGAGGTGTCGGTATCCTCTGTATCTTCTTCGTCCCCCGAGGACATCTCCTCAGAGGCGGAGTCATTAATTCTTAAATTTTGAAACTCAGTTAACACTGGGTACAACTTTTTCTTAGGCCCTTTCTGTTCCACTTTTGTAGCTACTTCTTTTTTAATTTCTTCTTTTTTCTTCGTTCTATTCTTAGCGCTCTTTTCCTTTTCTGCTTCTGATAGGCTATCCTGGTGTTCTGCCAAAGCTTTTTGTCCCTCTCTTACCTTATCTTGGCATTTTGCATCCTCTATACAGGCTCTAACCATTTTGTACAGCGGCCATGTGCCTGGTCTTAACTTTCCCTTCTCCTTTTCATTAATCAAATCTCCGCCGAGCTTGCCCCAGGAGCCCTTTGACAAGGACCCCATGGATACAAACCAGGGAGCTACTCTATCCACATCTCGCAGAAAATTACACAACACTTTCTCGGGAACCTTTAAACCACGCTCACGCAACAACTCCTGCATTGCTGAGAGAAGTGGCTTCATTTGGCGGTTACCCATACTGCTAGAGGGAACGAACTTGCACAGTTATCTACCTGTGACTTACAGCTCCTGAATACACGGAGGGCAAGTACACTCATTCCCTTGTGTATGGCAGTTAAGACAGAAGCAGAGCACAAGAACTACCATGGCCCAAACGGGGATAGCAATAGCAAAATAGATGGGATCCACCATACCTTGCAGAAAAGCGTCTAGACTTCTCGCGCGGCCAGTTCTGAATCCTCTGTTGAGCCAACAGGGTCCCTTGAAACTGGATAAAACTCCGAGACGTTCGGCTTCGTCTCCCGGGTTTCCGTCACCAGTTGTGGGGCGCCGCCTCGCCGAAAAGGAGAACGCCACGCTTCAGGATTCTTCTGACAGCAGTTTTATTGTTACAGCTCTTTTAGTGTTACAGCTCTCTTAGATGGTAGTGTTACAGCTCTCTTAGATGGTAGTGAGGCGAGGGACCCCAAGCCCCAAAAGCTTATGGCTTATATAGAGCTTTAGGAGACGTGCCTTACACTCATTGGCTCTTATGATGTCGCCAAATTAGCATACTGGTTTTCGCGCCTTGCGCAGGCGCACATTCAAGCAAGGCTTGCAAGAAGAACCAGGAAGCAGGAAACCGGCGCCATCTTGCGATGGCAGATGCGGCTCCTAACAGAACATTAATCCATTTTTAAGGTTGGCTGGTTCTGCTTGTCTCGGAGAAGGTTCTCTTAACCACTGAGCCATCTCTCTAGCCCCTTGATATATATTTTTTTAAGCTAAAGAAAAACCTGTAGAAGAACCTGTTTTTCTCATTTGCAGTGTGTAAGAATTGATGATACGATAACGTTTTGGAATTATTCGGATTTATTGTAAATAGGTTTGTTTCATGTGTTCTAAAAGGTGATACTGCTATAAGTGGTGGCCCAGGCCTTTAACTCCAGCACTCAGGAGGCAGCTTGTTTTACATAGTGTGTTCCCGAAAAGTCGGAGGTATAGAGTGACCCTGTCTCAAACACAACAACAAGAAATCTAGCCCCACTAGAAGTGACAATAGGCACATGCTCTCTGCTTGCACTGTTGGTAAAGGTGAAATGGCTTTGAGCACAGGCTGATTGTTCTTCATACATGTTTGTGGGAGTTAGTTCTCCCCTTCCATGTGGTTCCTGAGGGTTGAACTCCTGTCATCAGGTTTAGTGGCAAGTGCCCTTCCCTGGTAAGCCATCTTGACAGCCATGTTCTTTCTGTTCTGAGTAGTGAATGTGTGCTTACCTCTGAGCACAATGTATGTGTCCTGTTTTCCTGTTCACTCCTGCCCCAGGCAATCCAGATGTTTGTTTCTCTTCTTTGTGTTACTTATTCTTTTTATGTACATATGTATTCTGCCTGCATGTATGTCCGTGTGAAGGTGTGGTGTCCCCAAGAACCAGAATTACAGACAGTTGTGAGCTGCCATGTGTGTGCTGGGAATTGAACCCAGGCCCTTTGGTTAAGAACAGCTGGTGGTCTTAAATGCTGAGCCATCTCTCCAGCCCTGTGTTTCTTTTTCTTTTTTTCAGATAGTCTTGTAATTTAGTTCCAACTGGCCTGCAACTTGACATTGTAGACCAGACTGGATTCAAGCTTCTAGTGACCTTTCTGCCTCTCCCTCTCTGGGTTGGGATGCTAGGCATGTGCTACCATGTCCAGTGAGGGATGCTTAGAACATTCATATTCTGTTCTTGTAAGTAAGAAGGTGTTCCGTTCTGGATGAGGCTTCCAAATAAAGCTGGTGGGTGAAAGCAGTTGAACTGGAGGTGCTCAGACATGATGATGCTCTTGTTCCCCAGGGTGTTATGACCTGGGAAAGCCCAGAACAGCCCACCTACATCAAGTTGTTGACAACCCTCCCTGAGATGCATATTGCGGTCACTGTAGATATAGACCATACTATCAAACTGTGGGACTGTCACAACAGGGATGCTCTGGCGACTAGCAAGCTGCTCTTTCCCTGTGAATCACTGAACGCTGTCTTTGCAAAGGATGGCCCGATTGTCTTGGTAAGTGACCCTCAAATCTGGAATAGTCACACAGAACAAAATATTTGACAATTTGAGGTCCCATTACTGTCCAATCTTAACTTGCCATCTTGGAGTCTCTGCAAACCCTGAGAGTCAATCACAGTATACCATAAGCATGGCCATTCCTTAGCCTTTGACCTACTTCATGTACATGTCTTTAAGCCATTCTTTTAAAAAGATCATGTTAAAATTCTTGCCTGGGATCTGGGGAGAGATGGTTCAGTGGGTAGCAGTGTTTGCTGTGCAAGCATGTGCAAGTTCAGAGTTCTAATCCCTGACACTCACATCTAAAGTGAGATGTGACTAAAGGTGCCTGTAACCCCAGTAGTGTAGGGGATGGAAACACAGGGTCACTGGGACTAGACAGCTGCTAGCCAAGCCAGCCTGAGTCCAGGTTCAATAAGAGACTCTCTTAGGAAATCACGAGAAGAGGATAACAGGATACTTGGCGTCCTTCTCTAATTTCCATATATGTCCTGGTATGTAATCTACATAAATCTACATAAATATATATATAACAATCACACACACACACACAAGTTTTCTAAGTGGTTTTACATCTTCTTGTCTTTGAAATGTTTATTATTGCTGAATCCATGAATTTGTGTAGGGACAATAGAGATAAAAATTTCAAAGATCTTGAGGAAAGAAAGATAACACTGATGTCCCAGTGAGTCCTGTGGAAGAGGGTTTTAGGGCTTGGAAAATCATTGCACACACCCTACCTCATGTGTTTGAGACAGAATCTCATGATGTAGTCCTGGCTGGCCTAGACCTCACTGTGTAGACTAGGGTTGTCTAACTCACTGAGCTCAGACTGCCTCTGCCTTCTGAGTGTTGGGATTGAAGATAATATACTACCTGGCCCTACAAAAGATTCTTTTAAGAAATCCGGCTGGGTATGGTGGTGCTTGTCCTAGAGGCAGGTAAAACTCTTGAGTTTGAGGTCAGCCTGGTCTACAGAGTGAGACCAGGATAGCCAGGGCTACACAGAGAAATCCTGAAAACGTATCTCAAAAAACCCAGAAGGAAAAAAAAATTATTTTGTGTGTGAATATTTTGCTTGTATGTGTGTATGTATCACATGCAAGCTTGGAGGTCAGAAAAAGCCATTGGAGGCCTGGGGAGTTTCTCTCTCTCTCTCTCTCTCTCTATATATATATATATATATATATGTATATGTATATGTATATGTATATGTATATGTATATGTATATGTATATGTATATGTATATGTATATGTATATGTATATGACCAAATAAGCACTGAGTCATCCGCCACAGGTGTCATCCCAGATGCTCTGTGAGGCAGGCTGCTCAGAGATTTGGATCTCTTGTTACTGGAGTTGAAGACTCTGTGGTGTATCTTAGAGTAGATAACACTGTACCTTCCATGCTTAAACTTTTCCCACTCACAGGGTGCCGATGCTCTGATTTCAGGTGACTGATATCGAGGGTGGCCTCTACAGCTTTAGGGTTCCCAACTTACACCTCATTTCCAAAGTCCATGTATTCCAATTCGGTATTGACGAACTCTACTGCTCTCCTCAGAAGAAATGGGTCTTTCTGAATAAGAGACATCCACATATGTTGCCAAAAGTAAGTCTGTTCTGCAACTCCATGGTGAAGGTGGGAGATGGTGGGAAGGTCCAGTCCTCAAGGAGGTTCAGGCAGACCACTCCTGCTCTCCTAAGCCCTATCATAAGGAAAGCCATTTCTATAGTTGGGAGATAATAATGTGCTTGAAGCAGTCACATGATCAACCACAATGGCAAATGTCTATTACTGAAGTGTCCTTGAAATTTGGCTGAGCCAAAGGACAAAGAAATGTGAAATAACAGTCCCAGAATCCTTTGCTGGTCCTGAACTTGAAGCAATTTTCTATCACTGGCTGACACGACTACCCACCCCATGACACATTTCACATGCTACCATACCCAGTGCTTTATATACTGCCTTCTCTCCTTACTGCCAGCTCTCTGGTGTCTCCTTCTTATATATCGTGAGAGATATGGTCCAATCAGAGACCAAGTACTTCTCGGGGCTATAGCATATTTGTTTCATTTTATACATCGATGTACTTTCAAAGCAACCTGGGTTACAGAAGACAGTCTCAATGTCTCATTTTAAGAAAAAATTACAGAGAAGCCCTGGACTAGTCCTCTTCACGGGGAAAAGTGTACTTAACCAATCTCTGCCTGATGAGTCTGTTACAGTTGGATGGCCAAGGTGCCTTTTACCTGAGTCAGGGACTCCATTCTGTCTCTGAATATGATGGGAGGGACAGGAAGATGGTGAGTTACTTTGACCCTGAATGAGAGCAATGAGTGTTCTGCCCTGTCCTGGGTGAAGAACAGATGCAGCCACTCCTGGGTTTCTTTTGAAAGACCCTTGTCTGGAGTGCACATGTGGCAGGCTTCACAGGTGTTACTCTTCACTGATTCCACTGGGCAATCCTCTCTGCAGGTGTATTTACTGAGCAGCTTACTGAGGACATCAGAATTCTCTGCCCCTGTGTCTACCAGTCTCTCCTTCTCATTATGCCAAAGAGCCTTCTGGACCCCAAGAAGGGAAGACAGGATAACCCTGATGTCCAGATGTGGTCCCAAAAAAGTCACACAATTTGCCACATTTGATATGAAGCTGGAAGAGATGGGTAATCAAATAATTGTTAAAGGTAAAGCTTAGAAAATTCTCAAGCCAGATGTGATGGCACATGCCCAAAATCAGGAGACTGGGTCAGGAAAGCTTCCTAGAGGGTGCTGTCTCACAAAAGAAAAAGATGGACCTGACAAGATGGCTTAGCATGTGCACATGCATACCCACGGAGACGCACACGCACACACACAAACACACACACACAAACACACACACACAAACACACACACACTGAAAAAGTTATAAAAATAAAAATAAAAATAAAAGGCATGATCAATACAGTGAGTACAAGGTTAGCCAAGGATACATAGTGAGACCTTGTCTCAATAACAACAAAAACCCAAATGACAAGCAATAACGAACTGTATTATGGGGTGGCAAAATGGCTTAGGGCAGTGGTTCTCTACCTATGGGTTTTACCCCTATGGCAAATTTCTATCTTCAAAATACTTAAATCACGATTTATACCAGTAGTAAAATTACTGTTATGACGTATCAATGAAAGTAACTTTATGGCTGGGGTGACCCCACAGTGCCATATCAGAACTGTGGTAAAGTTCAATAGGAAGCATTAGGAAGGTTGAGAAGCACTGGCTTAAAGGAGAGAGACACTCAACCACCAAGCCTGACAACCTACTTCAATTCCTGGAGTACCACATGATGGAAGAGAGAAACCAAATCCCTCAAGTTGTCCCCTGACCCCAGTATATGTGCTGTGGCATGAACACCTACACAAACATAATAATGTAAAGACAGTTTTAAAGAAATCCTGATTTCCCCCGTGTCTCCCACAAGTGTTCATCATAAGCTATAAATAATGCTTGTCATTGTTTTGTATTATTAGTCATTCAAGACGAGGTTTCTTTGTGTAGCCATGGCTAACCTGGAACTTGCCCTGTAGGCCAGGCTGGCCTGGAACTTGGAGATCCACTGGACTCTGCTGGGATTGTGGATCACCATATGATGATGCTGGGTTTTGTAAAGGGAGCAGCAGGCTCCTTGGCCAGATGTGAACCTGTGCCTGTTTGATGGTCACTACACTAGTGAACTATGGTTTCCTTGGGCAGACATGTTTCCATTTCCGTCTTGTATTAGGGACTGGGTTCTACTGTCCTTTCCTCTACAGTTGTCTCTTCCAATTTTTGAACTATTGACTGTTCATACTGTCCATGTGTCATAGCCTGACTTTTGGTGGCCAATGACATGGACTTGTCAGACCAAAGGACTGTTTTCATTGTCTCTATCAGAATAGCATGCCATAGAGGTAGTGATACGCTTTTCACTAAGCATTTGGGATTTTGCTCGTATTTTTTTTTTAAAAATTATTTATTTATTTATTTATTTATTTATTTATTTATTTATTTAGTGTGAGTACATGGTTGCTGTCTTCAGACACACCAGAAGAGGCTATCAGATCCCCATTACAGATGGTTGTGAGCCACCATGTGGTTACTGGGGATTGAACTCAGGATCACTGGGAGAGCAGTCAGTGCTCTGCTGAAGATTTTGCTTATTTAAATGACTGAAAAATTGTCTGTATATTTTGTGTTTTTTTGGAACAGGACACTTGGTAGCAAGTTTCGCATTCCAAGGTTATGAAGACAGCCCGGAATGGATGGGAGTCAGTGATAAGAATGTGATTGTCTGTTCAACTGTATCCTCTCTCTTGCTCTTTAGCATGGAGGGCTGCCATCTGCAGAGATTTCAATACGACACAGAAGAGATCTTGAGTCTATGGGTGGTACGTTTGGAATGTTTTCCCTCTAGTGGGATTAATAAAAATAGATTTATATTTTTAAAACTTCACACTTTTGGGGTGTGCGTGTGTGCATTGGCACATGCGTGAGCACTTGCAGAGGACAGAGGCTGACTTCCTGGACTTAATCTCTCTCTTTCCACCTTTACATGGTCAGAGCACCAGTCTTGCTCAGCAAGTGCCTTTACCTGATGGACTGTCTCCTAGACCCTCTCCCTGTCTTTTGATCTGACATTGACTCCAGCCTTCTTACATTTGGGTGTTCTTTGAAGGACCCTGTTCATGTCGTTGTCACCTTTATTGACGGCTCTTTGGAGGTGTACACATGGGAGGAGAGAAGTCTGCTGCTCAGGAGGTGTTATCAGCTGCCAAACAGGAGACATTGGGCAGTGCCATGGTAAGCTCTGCTTCTTAACTCAAACTGGACATTAATTTTCAAACATTTCTGGGGCTGGAGAGATGGCTCAGCAGTTAAGACCACTGGCTGCTCTTCCAGAGGACTTGGGTTCATTCTCCAGCATCCACATGGCATCTCAGAAGTGTCTGTAACTCCAGTTCCAGGAGATCTGACTCACACCTTCACACCAATGCATTTAGAGTTAAGTTAAACATATTAAAAAGTTCTATGTAAAAATGCATTTTTAAAAGATAAATGAGCTTTCTATAAAAAGATATGACTACCTTCTGCTGTTTAGGAAATTTGGCAGCCAGATTGGCTTAATTGCAAACCCATCACAAACAAACACAGTGTAGTAGGAACTGGCTAAGCATAATACACACCTTTATTGGCAGCACTCTGGAGGCAGAGTCAAGTGGCTCTCTTGTCAGTTCAAGGCCAGCCTGGTCTACATAGTGAGTCCCAGGACAGCCGGGGCTATAGAGAGAGATTATGTATTAGGAATGAAGGGAGGGAGGGAAAAGAAAGAATTGCTAGTTCTTGGGATCCAGTTATTATGTCACCAGTCTCAGGCCCACAGGTGAAGTAGGGGGACTGCATCCTCATACCTTGTCTTTAATGGCAGGATGGGTTCTCCTGAGTGTGGTCCCCACTTGGGTTGCTTCATCAGTGAGCTGTCATTATTTCCATTTGGCTCATTTTCCTTTCAGTTTTACTTGCCTTCATCCAAGTTACCTTCAGTGATTGTGGTGCAGCCTCTGCTGTCTTGGAGTCAGGCTGACCTAGAACTCAGAGATCCACCTGTCTCTGCCTGGGACTGAAGTTGTTCACCCAGAGTCCCTTTTCAACAAGGGTCCACAGCACATGACAATTTACCAATATAATTTATATTACATGTATGACTAAAAGATATTTCTCCCTTTGAAGATAGTGGCACACAGCCATGATTCTATCATGCAGGAAATGAAGGCAGAAGAATTACCTCTTGTTTGACATTCAAATTCATTGCAAATCTGGGCTATACATAATGAAAACTTATTTCAATTTTTCCCACACTCTGTGGTGTTTCCCTTCCTTCTCTTGATTGATGTTTTTGTTGTTGGTTGGCTGGTTTTGGTGTTTTGTTTGTTTCCTCCACTATGCTGTGGAGAGACTTTTTAGTCTGATTCAGTCCCATTTGCCAATTCTTACTTTGGTTGCTGGTACTTGAGTGTTCCTAGCCCAGAACTCCTGCCTAGATCTGAGTGTCAGATCTTTTGCTACAGATTCCCTTTTAGTGATTTTCAGTCTCAGGTCTAGTGTTGCCTTCAGTGTGTTATAAACTGATTATTGAATTATTGAGTAGTGGGAAGTATAAGAAAGTGGTGACTTTTGAATCTTCCTGACACCATTTATTGGAGAGCCTATTCCTTGTCCTTTAAAAAAAAAATCAACAAATGATAAAAGTGCAGGTTATTCTCCTAGGCTCTGATTCTTCTGTTTGAGTGCAGTATCATTCATTCTGCTTTGATGACAACAGCTTGCTGTGTTATATTTTAAAATCAGATGTTGTGATAGCTTCAGTTTTGTTGTCTCTCTCAAGAAGGCCTTGGCTATGTAACGTGGTGTGTGTGTGTGTATGCGTGTTTGAGCACATACATGTATGTTGTTGTTTTGAGACACCTTGTACATCCCCAGTCTGGCCTCAAACTTGCTCTGTATTTAAGGCTAGTCTTAAAACCTTCTGTATCCAAGGCTTGCCTTGAACTTCTGAACCTTCTCCTTCTCCCTCAGTCTCATTTTTTTGTTTTGTTTTGTTTTGTTTTTTGAATTGATATTAATTTATTCTCCTTCAGGATTTGGAAAGAGCTCTACCATGTCCTCTGGTTTCTATGATGAAAGATCTGTTGTCATTGGGATCTGTCATTCTATAGGTCGGGGTAATGTCTCTCTGATTTCAAGTTTTTGGTTTAATTTTAGAAACTTGTTTTTGGTGAATCTGGTATAAATGTTTGGAGCTTTTTCTGCTTTAGAGCCTCTGTAGACTTACAGTTTGAGGAAGGGATTTTGTCTCTCTTATGCTGGGGGAGTGGATCCAGGGTCTTGCGCATGGAAAGGATGGACTCTGATAATAAACTTTATCCCAAATTTCAGGGAGTTTTGCTGTGTTCTCAACATGCCGAGTGGAGGACATAGGGGTGCCAGGTTTACCACCTCAGTGCAAAGGAGACTATGGGTGTGGACGACAGGTTTCAGCTAGAGTCTGCAAGGCCACAGGCAGGAGGTTGTGTCCTCGCCCAGGGCGGGCCTGACACTTATGAACTGTCCAGTGATCATGAGAAGTTTCTCTCAGTAGTAAAGAATGGAATGATTGACATGTGCCTCACCATCTCCACGCCCCCTAGTGGGGAGCGGGATGCATTGCTTCTTTACTATATTTTCTCTGAGTGGGCCATGTTTGGCTAAGGGAACAGAATTCAATTTTAAAATAAATTTATAAATTAAAATCTTTGGTTTTTTTTCTGAGACAAGGTCTCACTATAGAGCCTAGACTATCCTCAAGCTCTGTCAATTCTCTGGCCTCAGCCTCCTAAGTTGAAGTGACTTATAGCACTCACACCTGCCTTCTCTCCTTGTTCTTAAGCTAGGTAATCTACTGAACGACTGAGAATTGAGAAGTGGGGCAGAGGTCTATGGCAGAAGGCTGGGATTGGAACTCATGCTATGAATGATAGTCTTCCTTTGCCCATGTAAGCAGTTACTCAAAATTAACCTGAGCTGGTTCAGCAGTTTAGGTAAAAGTCACCAAGCCTGACGAGTTCAGTCTCTGGAACCTGCTTGGTGAAAGGAGAGAACTGATTCCATAAGTTATTGTCTACCCGCTCCATGCATATGAGCATGCGCATGCATGGGGACACACACACACACACATACACATAGGCACACATATACACACATGTATACACTCACACATACACACAGGCATGCAAACATAGGCACATACACACTCAGGTATACACACACATACACATATGCATACATACACATGCAGACATGGCACATAAGTATTTAAAAGTTTTAAACAAATTCAAGTCTATGATGGAAAGACAGTCTAATTATCAGTTGATAAGCCCCACTCCCATTTGAGTCCCATTTGAGTACTGACATCTTGTTTTTCCTTTGGCAGCCTTTATGACAAAACATCATGTGACGATGTGAGCATAATTCGAATGATGATTAATGGTCACACCCCCAACTATCTGATGGCATACACCTTGAACATCTGTTCTTCATGACTGAGTAGGTTATGTGTCCTCTTCCTCAATGGTAATAAAAGTCTATTTGCAAGCCCAGGCTGGTGTTTTCAGTGTTGCTAAGAAGTGAAGAGGCCAAATGTGGTGGTGCACACGTTTAATCCTGACACTGGGGAGGCTGAGGCAGGTGGAAGATCTGAGTTCTGAGGCCAGCCTGGTCTACAGAGCTAATTCGAGGCCAACCAGGGCTATATTATAAGAACCCATCACTGAAACAAAACCTGTGGCTAGTTGTACAAGCAAGTTGTCTGTGACATCTGTCACTTCACTGCTCTAGGGTTGAATCAGATGACCAGGCCATGTGGGCAGCTTATTACTGCAAAAGCCATGTGGCAAATAAAAAAAAAAGACCTTTTTTAAAAATAATTCATTTATTTTTTTCTCAAATCGTAGTTCATTCACACAGGGGTTATAAACACAGAAAGGCAGGATGTGGGGAAGGGCATGACACTGGAGTGTGGGTGTTCAGAGGGAATACAGATATCTTTTAGAACCGGGTATCGGCTGGGTAAAGGTTCAGGGGACAGGTCACTATGACTCTGCCTATGACTCACTTGTCCTTTTCTAAGTTGGTATTGTCTGCCAAGGCTATGTATTTACAAGGTCTATGACTACTCGGGCTGGTAAATTTCCACAAAAGCTGCCTGTTTACAATAGCTTATAGCCATCTGTTTCAATTTTTTTTTATTTTTTTTGTCAGATTTTTTTTTTTTTTTTTTACAGAGACTCAAGACTTGGTGTTAGTATACATGTATTACAGGCCGATTGCTGATTTTAGGCCTATGGCTGATTTTAGGCCTTCAGTGTATAAGCAGGGCTGCCCCTGACATCTCCTCCCTTCTCTAAGTATAGAAGGACTGTAGCAATTCTAATCTTGAGAAGGAGGGAATAGAGGCCTAACCTCCAATAATTGAAGGGGACCTTGTAATGGCTCCAGTCCCCCTGTCGTTGTCCAGTGAGGCATGAGGGCCATACCCATCCTGATGTCTTTTTCCTGGAGAGGGGATACTTTTGACATCAACCCTTATGCAGTCAGGCTTGTCCCTCCGGGAACCCAGAGAGGTATTTTTAAGTTTTATTTATATTCCCTTGCAGTACTTAGCCTCGCAGCCTAAGCAAGAATTCAGATCGCCAGTCAGAGGGGTTTCTGGGTGGCCCCTCTCTGCTTGGGCAGAAGTCCCCTCTTTTAGGTTGGGTGGAGATGGGTTTTGGAAACACCCTGTATAAAGTAACAACCTCATCTTGAGTCTCGTGGTCCTCCATAGCTAACTTATGTTAATGTTACTGAATAGATTTTGCTACCAAATTATTTATCTGTTGTTTCACAGAGTTAGCCAGCCTATTTGAGGCCCAGGAACCGGCAGAAATAAGCAAAAAGGATCAAAATAAGGGTCCCAAGATGGGAGGAAGTAAGGTTGACAACCTTGGAGAACCTGAAAACCAATTCTTGTACCAACATTCATCTGTCTCTTTCTCTCTGATTTTTCTCAGGGCCTTCACTGACCTATTTCATGTTCTCTTTAACCCTCCCTGTCTTGTCTATGTAAAGGCAACCTTCTTCTTTAAGGGCTGCACACAGTCAAGAGCTGTACACAGCCTTTTCTCTTGTAATAGAGTAAATCACTGCAGCTTATCACTGCAAAAGCTATGTGGCAAGTTAAAAAAAAAAAGACCTTTTTTGAGACTATAATTATTATCCTTTCCTCCTTCCTCCTTTAAACCTTCCCATATACCCCTCCTCTGTGGTCTCTTTTGATTTCTTGACCTGTTTTTTTTTTTTTTTCTCAAAACATTTTTTTTTTTTTTTTTGGTTTTTTGAGACAGGGTTTCTCTGTGTAGTCCTGGCTGTCCTGGAACTCACGCTGTAGACCAGGTTGGCCTCGAACTCAGAAATCCGCCTGCCTCTGCCTCCCAAGTGCTGGGATTAAAGGCGTGTGCCACCACTGCCCGGCTTTTTTTTTTTTTTTTTTTTTTTTAAATCAAGGGAATGTGGGCTGGTGAGATGGCTCAGCAGTGAAGACCACTGGCAGCTCTTCCAGCAGACCTGGGTTCAAATGCGACCACACCTACAGCAGCTAACCACTGTCTATAAAGGCAAAACAGCAACACACATAAAAATCTTTTTAAAAAAATAAAAGGAAAACAATAAAAGCCAGGTGATGTCAGTCTATACCTTTAATCCCAGCACTTGGGAAACAGAGTCAATCAAATCAAGGCCAACCTGGTTTACACAGTGAGTTCCCTTATAGTCAGAGCTGTGTATGTATATGTACACAGAGAACCCTGTCTTGAAAAACCTTAAAGTGGAAAATTAAAGTTTAATTGAGCTTATGGTTTTGTTGCGGGAAATATTTAAAAAGTTGGCACCGGGCTGGAGAGATGGCTCAGCGGTTAAGAGCACTGACTGTACTTCCAGAGGTCCTGAGTTCAAATCCCAGCAACCACATGGTGGCTCACAACCATCCGTAATGAGATTCAATGCCCTCTACTGGTGTGTCTGAAGACAGCTACAGTGTACTCATAAAAAAAAAAAAAAAAAAAAAAAAAAGTTGGCACCATCTCCTGCTCTGTCCAGATACTCTATGCTCTGGCAGTCCCAGGCTCAACACCTCCAAGGCTAGCCCCAATACGGCCGTCTTCCCAGCTGTGGTTCACTTGCCTCAGAGCTGCTAGTTCCTTCTCTGCCATCCATCCCCTATGGCTGGTGGTAACAAATCCTCTTAACCCAGTAAATCAAAACTCTTGAGGCTTATAATTAATTGTCCTGTCCAGCAGGACATTAAACAGGGGTCTGGGGAGGTCACCTGAAAGAGAGCAGGGGAAGCAGGCAAAGACACAAGGAAGTCACAAACTGTCTATAATCTGATCAGATCATAATTTTTACTTTTGCACACACAGGTTATATATTCAAAAAAGCAGGCTGTGGGGAAGGGGATGGCGCAGGAGCGTAGGTGTTCAGGGGGAGTACAGTTATCATCCAGAACAGAGTGTCAGCTGGGTGAAGGTTCAGGGGGCAGACCACCATGACTCCACCTATGATTCACTTGTCTTTATCTAAGTTGGTACTATCCACCAAGGTTACCCATCTACAAGGCCTATGAGCCAGGCTTGGCAGCCTTCCACCAAAGCTGCTGTTTACAATAACTCCCAGCTATCTGTTTCAGTGTTTTTCCACAGAGACCCAAGACTTGGTGCGAGCAGGCATGTATGTTAGGCCTATTGCTGAATTTAGGCCTATGGCTGATTTTAGGCCTTTAGTATATAAGCAGGGCGGCTCCCGACACTTCCCCCTCTCTCCAAATATAGAAGGACCATGGTGATTCCAATCTTGCAAAGGCGGGGATAGAGGCCTGACCTCCAGTAATTAAAGGGGACCTTGTAATGGCTCTGGTCCTCCTGTCGTTGTTCAGTGAGGCATGAGCCATACCCATCCCGATGTCTTTTTCCTGGAGAGGGGATACTTTTGACATCAATCCCTATGCAGTCAGGCTTGTCCCTCAGGGAACCCAGAGAGATATTTTAAATTTTATATTCCCCTGCAGTGCTTAGCCTCACAGCCTAAGCAAGAATTTAAATCGCCAGTCAGAAGGGGTTCTGGGTGGCCCCTCTAGGCTTGGTCTACGTGCAGGAGTCCCTTCTTTTAGGTTGAGTGGAGATGGGTTTTGGGAACACCCTGGATAGAGTAACAACCTCGTCTTGAGTCTCTTGGTCTTCCATAGCTAACTTATGATAATATATCTGAATTGGTTTTGCTATCAAATTATCTATCTATTGTTTCGCAAATTTAGTAAGCCTATTTAAGGCCCAGAGACCAAAAGAAATAAGCAGAAGTAACCCAATTAATGGTCTTAAAATGTAAAATAAAGTTGACAGTCATGGAGAGGTTGAAAACCAACTCTCGTACCGGCTCTCATTTTTCTCCCTCTCTCTCTGTCTTTTCTCAAGGCCTTCTTGACCTTTTTCATGCTCTCTTTAACCATCCCTGTCTTTTCTATGTAAAAGCAACATTCTTCTTTAAGGGCTGCACACAGTCTAGAGCTATACACAGTCTTTTCTACTGTAGAAGGGTAAATCAAGTCCAATAAAGTCCTTTGCATTTTTGGAGATCATTTCAGACAGCAAAAATGAGGGATTTCTTCAGATTAGTGATGTCAATGTCTAGCTGTTTGATGTCCTTTGTCAATGGCCCAGCGAAGGTCTGAGTAGTGTAAGTCTGGAGGCCAGCATCAGGATTAGAACTTCCAACAGCAAACACCATGGGTGATTTATTTTTACCTGGAAAGGATAAAGAAGGGGATTGTCAGGGAGATTTCTCTTCCCTGGATGTCAATTGTTATTCATCTTATTTACAATTAGGCCTGGCTTTGTGGGGGTATCTATTTATTTCAATAATCTTTTGGCAGCCATTTAGCTGTGCCTTCTCTGGTATCAAACAGGCATATTAATCCTTGGCCCCATATGAGAACTGGGTCCAGGCCATTCCATTTAAATGTAAGAGGGTCCTTCCACATAATTCTGGCATAGTTTTAGTTGGTCTCAGCATGCCAGAGATAGTCAGCAGTAGGTTTGCCATGAGCTTTCAGATTTAGAAAATTAAAAACGGCCTTCCGCCCTTGCCTGGTCCTTTGGGCTGGGGCAGACACAGAATTGGTCTGCTCCTGTCCCGTGGAGATGCTGAATTCTGAGTCATCCTAGAAGAGCCACTGCACTCAGAGCAGCCAGTAAGAACTCCATCTCACTCCCTAGGCTCCAGAGATACATCTGGGAGCCAGGGACATTCAGGACACAGCAGCTACCCAAACCCCGCCCCTCCGGAATTCCACTTCCCTTCTGCCCCTGCCTGGTCCTTTGGGCTGGGGCAGACACAGAGTCGGTCTGCTCCTGTCCTGTGGAGATACTGAATCCCGAGTCATCGAGGAGCCACTGCATTCAGAGCAGCCGAGGAGCCACTACACTCATAGCAGAAGGATTTCCAGATCCAA